CCCCCTTCCTTCATTCTCTGTGCGCCGCCGATCTCACCCCCACCACCCTCACTCCATCACCCTTTCGCACGCCGCACTTTTCTGCAGCAAAGCGCACACTTTGCCCCCTCCCCCCCCATCCTCCCCCCCGGTCGCCTCTTGCCACTCTTACCCCCAGGCAAATCTTACGGTCTTGGCTGCAGCCCTTCTACCACCACCGCGACTCTCCCCTCGACCCCCTCCTCTCTCTTTCTCTCTCTCCATCCCCGGCGGGGCAAAAGCGCCTCTCTGTTCTCCTTCGATGACTACTTCGGCTGCTTTCAGGATTGTGCCTCGCCGGGGTGCGGTATGGCCTCGGCCGTGGCGGTGCCGCCAAGGGGTTCTCCCTCTCTCCTCTGGAGCTTATGAGGGCGCCTCTCTCGCTCCCCCTCGTGCACACATTCTCTCGCTCCCTCTCGTTCACACAATCTCTCGCTCCTCCGCCCCACTTCTTTCTCACTCTCCGCACCAGTTTTTAAGTCGTGTCCACAGGGGCACGGCGGCGCAGGGGGACGTGCGTGAGTAGGAGCCCACCCCACCCTACCCCGCCCCACCCGGGTCGCGCCCCCCAGACGCAAAGGGCGACGCCGCCTCTCCTTCAGCACGCGGATGAAAGGGAATTGAAACAAAGACAGGCCGCCCCGGTAAAGGGGAGGAGGGAGGGAGGGAGGGAGTGCGACAGGGAGAGGAGCTACAGAGGGTGCACCGCCCGCACCTTCCGCTAAAGGGGTCCTCGGGGGATGTTACGCTGCCCCCGCGGGGAGGAGGAGGGGTGCAGCAGAGGTAGGCGAGGTGCGGTGGTAGAAGTTTTGCCTTCCACCCCCCCCCCCTCACTTTCTGGATCTAGTTAGCGTCGCGGAGATCGCAGGCCGCGCGGACCAACTACAACTACCACTGTAAGTGGACGCGAGCAAGCCCCTTTGGGGAAAGTGCGCGTTAGCTCGACAGATTGCGAAGAGCGTAGGGTAAAGATGACGACGTGAAGTAAAATCAAGAGAGGGTCCGCCTGGCCTGGGGATGAGGGGAAAAGAGGAAAGGGGGGGGGGCGTCACCGTGCTGGCGGCGGTAAGCGAGAAAAGAATGAAGACCGGGTGAGGGGTCCACTTGAGCCGCCAGCTTGCCCCGCCACGCCCCGCCACGCCCCGTCAGGATAAAGGCGCCGACACTGTGCAGGCCGCTGGCTTAATTAGAGCGTGAGCCAAGTGCCCGACAGCAGGCCGAGGGGAGGGGCGAGGCGAGAGGTGAGGACAGTGCTCTGTGCTAAAGACGAACCCTTTGCTAGTTAGGGTGATAGTGAGAGAGTAAAATCCATC